CGTGGTGCAACCGACGACTTCTATAACCGCATGTAAGTAGAACAGTTAATATCGACAGCTAGCTAATAACTTTTAGTTCACTTTGGTTACCCCGTCTTTTGTAAACTGTTTAGTAAAGCATAGGTTGAGGCAGTTGACATGAAGATAAGGGTGATCTTGGTGTTAAAGACAGGTTCTTTTTAGTTTGTTTCACCAGGGGACTTCAAAAACCAAAAGTATTAGTCCCACACATCGTCCTTTCCTGTGCGTAAAAGTCTTAATAAACTCATATGTGCAAGGGAGGACTGTGGTTTACTAGATGGTTATGACAGTACATTAATCATATAATGCAAAATGTCGGTGTAAAATTTGGAGTAAAATAGACCTAATGATAATGTTAAATAACTATAAATAACTAATAACAATGACTTTTATCTTTACTCGTGATCAAGATACTTCACATACTTCAACTATTTCCAGTACAACTAAGACTGTCAGGAAAGAACAGTCATTTTGCATCAAGTTCGTGGTGATCGCACTCGCTGTTTCACTGGCTGTTTTCATATGTATGTTTGTCGCAGTATTTTGCTGGTTCAGAAAGAAATCAGGTTAGTTTACAAACCATTCAAGGCTAGTCGTCGTTGAGTCGATTGCATAGAATAATAGTCGCTATGCAAGCTCGCAAATTTGTATTTAAAATGGTTTTTTTTCCACCCTCAATAAAACGAAACAATAAAATTTTCTTATTTTTAGGACAAAAACAAATACAGATTAAATCATCTAGGTAAGCAAGATGTTGTTTAAAATATGAGCTTGATAGTTAGGCAACTAGTCGCCATTGCTCGCAGAAGTTATTAGCATCGTCCGCGACTTTTAATTTCTCCTTACACCAGCGATAGTTCCAGGAAATCAGAAAGAGAAAGGAGAAGGTGTAAACTGGTGACGCCTTAGACTATCTGTGCCCCCATATAGTTTCAAATTATTAAAAAAAACTATCCTTCCCGATTAGTTGCGCATCGTTCGGTGAACGGCGACCGCGTGCGTAGATTTTAATTCCAAACTATAACTTAATCACAAGAGAGTTCTGTGATATCAAGGAGAAAAAGTATACCAAGGATTTGGTAATTCCAAGTGCGGTAAAAAGTCGACTTTAATTATAATTTGCTATTTCCTCTAAAGAAATCCATCAAAAAGAATTGCAGCCTTTAATACAAGATCATGTGGACAAGAACAAAGAAACATCAGCAACGCAAACTCAGAGGGTGTACAGATAGTGGGCCTAGATGCTGTACAATATGCTGCACCAGTCGATGACATAGACTACCCAAAACCATCCACTCATAACATGACACATGATATACTATATGATACGGATCTATCGACCTACTCTGAAGTGCATGATGCAATACCACCATCTGCTAAGTTGACCTCCATATATTATGATGATGAAAACCTATACTTGAATCCAGTTGAT